AGGGCTGAAAACGGTTTAGTCCTGTTTTAGTCCTGATTCAGCCCTGGTTCAGTCCATTATCCATTTTTTCCATCATTCATTTAAACACAAAATTTTTGTTTTTTCATTTTCTTATTTTTGATTTTATATTGAAAAACGAATGAACGAATGATACACGGATTCCAAACAATCTGCTTTGGATTGACATAAAATAATTAAATGGAGGCTAAATAAATTGATAAAAATACAAAGAGACAAACTTTATGCCAAAATTTCATACAATTTTGATTTATGAGATTCGACTTAATAAAATGTATTATAAGGAATTGTGTTTTGTTTCCTTAACCTTATCCCTCCCTGAATCATAAATGCTACTAAACCACACTTTCTTTGTGATACACTTTTAAGCGGTTAAGCGGGAATCCCATTCGTTTTAATGGGCAATGTGAGAAAGTTTTTCCGTTAAAAAAATCCACAAAGCGCCGATTCTCTGGAAAGCTTTAAAGCAGCTTTGTGGTTTGTATATGTACTTATCTGCTCGAGATCTGCAGCTTCATGCAAAATAATACAGCCTGAATCACAATGGCGACGGAAACGGTAACTTCCGCAACACAAAGTGAATATACTGACCTGCAGAGGACACAAAACACTAAAACACACATTCAAAACACATTTTCTCTTGAAGATTTTAAGCTCAAAAACCACGAATTCCAAGACGCCCAAACGTTGACCGTGAGCAGGTAAGCAGGTGCACTTTAATCAAATGTTAGCCCTCAGAGCCAGCAGAGCATTAGGACTCCACAGATCTCCTCTTCCTCTCTCCGGTGCCGTGTGCAGAGGCTGGAGGAGGGTGCCGAGTTCACCCAAAGGTCCTCCTGATTGGCTGGAAGTTCATTAGCAATACCGAACAATGGGCTCTGAGTATCCACTGTAGTCCTGTGCGGTTGGAGCAGGGCTGTGGCTGTCTCTAGCTTTTTGAAGTTTAATGCATTTTAATCAGCAACATTCAACTTAAAAATGTACAAAAATAACAAATGGATGTATGAATTTTGTTCGTTTGACTCATCCTTATTTGTAACTTTCCTAGTGGATGCCCTGCCACCTATTTGTCACCATGGAGATGTTATTTGTTGATGTTTTTCAAGGTTCTTCTCCATAATAGGTTCTATTCACACTTAAGTCACAAACCAGGAAAAAGGTTGAAAACATGCGAAAAAATCTAGAGAAAATGGACCAGTTTTCTAATTCGTGTATCATTCGTTCATTTGTTTTTCAAAATAAAACCAAAAGTAAGAAAACGAAAAAAAAGAACCCGACTATTTTCTTGATTATTTGTCTCCAAAACCAAAACGAAAAAAACGGATAATGATTTTTTTTTTTCAGTTTTCGATTTTGTGTTTAAATGAATAATGGAAAAAACAGATAATGGCTGTTTCCTGTTTTACGTGACTTAAACTGCGATGCTGGACTGAACCAGGATTGAACCAGGACTACACCAGGACTAAACCAGGAGTGAGACTGGGACCAGACCAGGACAATACTGGGACTGAGACTAGACTGAAACAGGACTGAGACCGGGACCAGGACCGGAACCAGAACAGGACTGAGACCAAGACTGAGATCGGTTTAGTCCTGGTTCAGTCCGTATATGGCTCAAAATCCGGCATCACAGTTTAAATCACGGAAACGGAAAACGGCCTTTATCAGTTTTTTCCATTATTCATATAAACACTAAATCGAAAACTGAAAAACTAATCGTTATCCGTTTTTTTATTTTGGTTTTGGAGACAAATAATGACGAAAATTGTTGTTTTTTCGTTTTCTTATTTTTGGTTTTATTTTGAAAAACGAATGAAACACAGATTTTTTTCGTCATCTCCATGTCATTGTATTGTTCCGTTATGTTCGGCTAATCAACAATTACAACTACACCTCAGTTTTTATAATTGACGCACAACTCCGAGTGCACTGGGTACATGCGATTAGAAGAGATGAGGCACCAAACTCAACATGATTCCAAACAGCACATACGTATGCAGTCTTCATTTTACCGCTGATCACATTTACTTTATCACAGTCGGTCGGCGAGCCCAGCACCAGGAACTACACCGGAAGTTGTCCTTGCATGTTTCCAAACGTTTTCCTGGTTTGTGACGTAAGCGTGAATAAAGCCTATGGAAATGTTATTTCTTTCCTTGCAATATTCCACACAATGGCATTAAACATAAGCGATCTATCTCCATGTAGACAACCAACTGAAGGTGAGACCAAGTTACAGGTCAGATCTGTGGAGAGGTGATCACATTTATAGTAAGAAAATCTAGGAAAAATTTGAGAATGGCCCAGTTTTCTTCATCTGCGTGTCACTGTAGCATTCTGTTATGTGGCAAATCAACAATTACAACCATACCTCAGTTTTCATCATTTTAATAATAAATAAATAATAAATAATATAACATCATTTTAATGCATTCATCTAAATTTGCTGGCAAACAATACATACCCTGGTAGCCAAACAAATACTTTTCTACAAAGAACGTGCAGCATTTCGTTTTGAGCTGCCTGTAAGTGACATCGAAGAAGCGATTAGAGTCACGTCCCCCATGAAAAGCTTTGGCAGATTATGAAGACCACCGCTAAAGATTGTTTGAATCCATGGATTTATCATACTTGGATGGGTTTTATCACAGTCGGTCGTCGAGCCCAGTGTCTTTAACTACACCGGAAGTTCTCATCGCATTTTTCCAGGCGTCTTCCTTGTTTGTGACATAAGCGTGAATAGAGTCTATAAGTCATCAGTAATTGAACAAATGCAAAACAGAAAGTTGAACATTTCCGGTAGCAATAACATTTCCACGGAGACGAGCAGGTGCAAGCAAGAACCACCGCTATAAAAGTTACATAGTGCCGCTTTAATGCCACACCTGGTGACCCACCTCTATATATAGAGCCGGGTCACGTTCAACACTAACCGGCGGATTACCCAATTACACCCGTTGTGATAGAATGAAACAGACTTTGAGAACCAAAAACACATGAAGAACACTCAAACTCCACACAGTTAAATCATCCAGGAATCAAACTTATTGCCACCTTATCAATTTTAGTCAAACATCTACACCAAGAAGCTTATAGCACTTCTTCTACAGAGTCAGATAAGGCAGCGTAGCGGAACAGGTGACTCAGCTCGCTCACGGCACCAATCCCCCTGAGATCTTTGACCCCATAATGGTATCGCGGAGAGGCTTATGGTAGATCGGCTCCGAGCTGTTGCAGAGATTAGTGTCACGCACATTTGGGAGTGGGCCAGGCCTATATCGGGACCTCCATCCGTGGTATTCCGAGCGTTCATTACAGTGCACCCGGGCCCATGTTGAAATCTGATAGGGGGTGCATATAGTAGCAAGCGAATACTAGCTACTTCTGTTGCCGGAGGGGCTATATGTGGCTGTGCGTTGACCTACATGGAACAAGCCAGTGTGTTCTTTAAAATATGGATAACCCCCGCCCCCACTGTACTTCACTTCACGCTCGTTTTCTTCAGCATTACAGTGTACATGAAAAACTACATTGTTGCAGTACCAGTATTCGTCGCGTTTGATATGTACAGCCAAAGTACTCAGAGGAAAGATAGGGTTTTAAGGAGGTGAAACAGAGAGGCCCCGCCCACCCCTCTACGTGCGCAGGCCAACGCTGTAGTGGAAAACAAACACGCACGTCGAACAAAAACAATCCGTTCCTCTCTGAGCGGAGCGGTGTAAGCTGAGCGTAGTGCGCATGGATGAGAGAGGATGTGCAACTCGGCCTTTTCACAATAAAAGACTCGTGCATAAATATAGAGGACCATTATATTCTTGAACTAGGATTATTATTAAAGATATATAACGCATTAAATGACACTAAAACAAACAAAAACACTAACAGGAGGTGCATGGGCTCCACCTGCCGCACCACAGACGAACAAAAGTGTAAATTAGGCTAAAAACAATAGCTTAAAGAACTTATTTTAACTGATTAATAATTTAGTCTGATGAGAAAACTGGTGAAGGTATGGACTCTAAACGTGCACTATGTAACTTTTCTTCTACTTTTCACCACGAACATATTATCTTTTCACCTGGAATGTTCAAAAGTAGAGCATTAAATCATGGATACAAGCATGGGATGCCATCTGACCAAGTTACAGGTCAGATCTGTGCAGAAGCGACCCCGCTCACGATAACAATGCATGTTTTTCAATGCATTTTGAGCAATAAACATGTATCTTTTTTATTAAATGCAACATAAATAAGTAAATAATTCATGTCATATTTAATGTCATACTGTGGACAGACCAATAACCTCTCCATGGAGACAAGAAGGTGAAGAAAAGTTACACAGTGCACCTTTAAAAACAACTTATTCATAACCTGTTATACAATCCTATGTTATATTGTGTGTACTGTTGGTCATGCGTTGCTGGAAAAGAAGATATTCCCATTAAATATAGGCAAGTCTGAAACAAAAATTACAATATTGACTCATCGTTCAGTGTATGAAAGCTGGAACAATAATTTTTGGCACTCAAAATTTATCGTGTGTACAATTTATTTGCAATAATGGTGAGATTTTAGTACTTTAGTATAGTATTTTCTGTACTATGATGAGATTTGCTGCAGATCTTTTTTTTATGATACTGTAGCTTATATTTAAAAACTGGTTTACTTAGTTTACTCTGGTTTACTTTACCATTACTTATCCTACTTTGTGTTAGTGGAATAAAGCAGTTTCAGTATTATCATTTATCGCAATATTTTCCTGTAGAAATACTCTTCAAGACTTGTTATTAATACAGACCTACCTGTAGGCAATATATCACTGAAGTGTCACGCCCACGCACACAACAGCAGAATATTGCAGCTCTACCAGAAACATATGATTGATAAAAAAGATAAGAAGTACACATATGACTAAACAAACCATGTCTTTTGTGCGTCTCCGGAAACTCCCGTGAATGCTGCCGGCTTGACGCCTCCCACAAACGCCATCTTGAAATCGTCCCGAGCCGAGAAGACGAGGAGAAGAAGACGGACTTGGGAAAAGCTGCTCGACCTGAACTCGATCGCTGCTCGTGCTACGTGGATTAACGCGTGACATTAGCGGTGGATGTGTCACGCCATATCGTTAGTGCTTCTGCGCCTATGCCGTTCGGACCCACGGGACGGTGTTTGCGTGACTTTGGAACAGGCTGACAGGCGCCAGAGCTGCGCGCCGTGCGTTTCCTTCTGGGACGAACGGAGCAGGTTGTGGCCGAGCAGCACCGCGTCGATCCAGCGCGCTGTACGTGGGATAAAACGCAACTTCGACCTAATGTAACGTCTCCAGTGAATGTTGATGAACACCATTTCGCTTTCTGTCGTGTTGTGAACGAGCTATGCGACGGAGCTGTTGGGAGGCGAGGTGTGATCGGACAGCGGAGTGATCTAAGCTTCCAGGCCGATGGATGTTAGCTCTGCTCGGCTGTGGCTCGGCTGTGGCACGGCGGCTCCTGTTTCCTCTGGCCTCTGAACGGTTACGCGCACGGGAGGCACACGTAAAAGCGGTGACAATGCCTCAGATCGGACTAATAGTAGACTGCTCCGGCTCGAATGCCAACAAGTCGCTGTCTTCTCCCAGCGCCAGTGCGTAAACCTGGGCATACCAACCATCCCGCTCCCCTCTGAGGCCTCGTCCTACCTCGCTCTCCAGCTCCGCAAACTATCTGGAATATTTTGGATTTATACTGTATTTTCTCTTTTTAAAATGTCACTTTTAAACAGACACTGCCCATAAGCACCAAAACGAGCATTAACTGAACTCTCAAGACGGTAGAATTGGCAAGGTGTTTATTTTTCACTTTGTTGACAGCGGATATATTCGGATGGAAAATGGGAAACGCTACCAAACTGGCCATAGCCGTGTTCCTCATCTCGTGTTCATCAGGTGGGTGTGTGTGCGTGTTTGAGAGTGTTTTGGGGTGTGTGTGGGGGGGGATGTGTGCTCAGATCGTGCTGCAGTGCAATCCGATGAGAAGGGCACAAATCCCCGACTTCCATTTTCCTGCGCGTCCGTGCCATGTTTGCGTCATGCGCGCACGGATGTAGGCTACGTACGAGTGCCCGCTGCATGTGATATGAGCTGCAGAGATAAACTAAAGCAGGGTATGGACTGGGCTAAATAAAGTCTATAGTAGCAGCATGCATGAACCTGGATTGAACCTAAACTAAAGCAAGTCTGAACCGGGTTTAAACCAGTGTTAGCCCAAACCAAGATTGAAATGAAGCAGGACTAAACCAGTTCCGAGACTAACCTGGACTAAATCTGGACTAAACCGGGTCTATGACAAGTCTGAACCAGTACTTGACCTGAACTGTCCCATGTCAGAACCAGGACTAAACCAGTTCCAAGCCTAACCTGGGTTAAATCTTTACTAAACCAGGTCTATGACAAGTCTAAATCAGTACTTGACCAGAACTATCGCATGTCAGAACCAGGACTAAATCAAGACTAAATCAAGACTAAATCAAGACTAAATCAAGACTAAATCAAGACTAAATCAAGACTAAACAGAGTCTTTAACTTTAACCATATCAAGCCTGAACCAGGACTAAACCAAGACTAAACCAGGAACAAACTGAATCAGTACAAACAGGTCTACACCAGGGATAAGCAAAAACTAAACTATGGCAAATTGTATTGCTTAAAAATAGAACTAATGTGGGACTGATAAATGTAATTTGGTCTAAATCAGGCCTGAATCTGCTTTTGTTTGGATGAAGACTAAACCATAACTAAACACAGAGTGAATTCTGACTGTGCCAGGAACAAAACATGGCTCTGAAACCGTGGTTAAATCAGGTTTCAATCTTTTGGAATCTAAAATGTTGCACCATATCAGGGCTAAACCAGGTCTAACCCAAGACAAAACCAAGACTAAAGGAGCCTGGACAAGACCTAAATCGGGACTGGCACTAAAAGGCGTGCGTATCAGATGGACCTTGGTATTTTACATTTTACACTGTAGTGAGGGGTCAGTCTGGGGGCCCCTTCACAGACTATCGGTACAAATGAGATTTTAGCCGCAATTGAGTTAGTGAGTGAGCGGAGCCTGCCTGTCCCTCCTAGTGGCAGGCTGCTCTGGGTCTTATGTAAGTCTCTGGTAAAATGCAATAGCCACAGTGATGTTATCGTCTTTGAAGGTCAAGGAAAGTTGGGTAGGCGTCACCTGGTTTCACTATTGCCACTCATAACATACTTTTCTGGAGAAATCTGCAGGGAAATGGAAAGGGAAGAGGCAAAGATCTTCATTGTAGTTGTAGATGTAGTGGTGGTAGTAGTAGTAGTAGTTGTTGTAGTGGTGGTAGTGGGCTGGCTGACTGGACGACTACTACTATAACAACAAAACAGCACGGATCACAGAGATAAATGATTACATAATTACATTACGTAATTAGGCCCAACTGTTAATTATTTCTATCAGATTTTAGGTTGAAAATTCACTTAATGCAAAAGATCTCTGTTGCAGGACAAAATGTTATCTGCAGCCTCTAAATATGGGCTACACCCCCCTGAACTTTGATTAAAACGTGTGACTTCCTCGTTTTGTCGGTTTCTATTGATTTGATTTGCTCATGGTCTTCTCTATCAGGTCCATCTGTTGAAAGAATAATGAGGAATTTCCTGAGAATGGCCCAGATTTTTTTTTCTTCGCGATTTAATCACGCAAAAAATGACGCTCTTCTTTGGAATACTAAATTTTTATGGTCAACATTACCCATGAGATCCCCAAAGATTAAAAAAAATGGATAACAGAACCAAAAATGTCAGTAAAAGCGTTGCGTTTCTTAGAATGAGTAAACTTCCAAAGTAGAGCAGTATGTATGTCAGTGAATGGTTTGTGGGCTGCATGGAAATTTGGTTTTATTTTTTTTAAAGCTTTGAACCATGTTACTGTTATTTCCCTTCAGCATTTTCTCACACTAAATTGTATTTTTGTGCATGTTTGAGCAGTGACATTTTGCCAATCAACCCCCGTTTTAACCAGCAGCATATGCCCACTGCTCTGTTCTCTGCTCTTCTTCGTTCTCCAATTTTACTTTCTCTTCTGATGATACTCGTAGGATTCAGCAGCGTCGTGCAGTCATTTTGGTACAAATGAAAAATAAATTTGCAGCTATCCATCGGAGGTGCCTGCAACTTTGTGGCTCTTTGTTGTGATGACGTTTACAGCGGCGTCAACTCCCATTAGGCACTTGGGGTGTGCAAAAATATAGAAATAGCGATTGTTTAATGTGATGATACAGTATCGATATTGTGGGGAGTAGGGATGTAACGATAATTGAAATATCATGATATCATATTGTCAAAAGTCTTGTGGACTGTCACAGTATATCGAATTACAAGTTCCTTTGCTTAAATGCATGGTTTTATAGTAACAACAGCTTATGAACATAGGGAACTACATATCCCATGAGTCAGTGCAAACAACATGAAGAAATATGGTTTTTACTTATTCTTGGGATTTTGACGGAAATAATTCAGGAAAAAAAAGCAGAAACATGTCCTATCTACAATTATTGTAGCCTCTCTAAAATATAGCAACAAATTTCATACCGTGAGATGCTATGATATCGTACCGAGAGATTTGGATATCGTTACATCTCCACTGGGGAGTATTTTTTGGTATTTTGACTAAATAGTTTTGTTACAGCGCTACAGTTTTGTTGCTTGTTTAGAGGAAGGAAAATCATTTATGCAACACATTGGAGAAATTCACTGTTTTCATGATTTAAATGGGCGTTTTTCATTTTCACTTTGCACAAGAAGTGGTTTAACAAAGACTTTTAGTTTCACAGCCATGATTTAGCTATAATTTTTATTCAACCGTATAGAATCAATTAGAAATATATCGTATCAAACTGAAACTGCACTGTATCGAGGTATGTATCGTATCAGCAACTTCTTAATGATACTCAGCCCTGTTGGGCATGGACATCTACAGACTTCTTTTATTAAGTTGCTTTAGGTGAATATTGCGATTTAAAAAGTCCAAATTATAACCTAATAATCCACGGGTGTAATAGATCGTAACTATATTGCAGACACAAGCGCAATACATCTTCATGCAAAGTTAAAAGTTCAATTTACCATAACATATTATAAAATGGTTCAAAGGTCATTGCTAAGGTCACGACCAGATCCGGTCAGCAGTCTGCTTTCACATTACATACAGTTATCGCCAATAAGCACAGTTCATTGGCCCATATGTAATTCTGCATGTTCTTTATTTGGTGTTTGGTTTAACAAAGGGTTACACTGTTGGCGTCATGACTTGCGTTGCCTCATGGGAAATGTTTGTATTAGTTTTGCTGTGAGGAAAAAAATCAGGATTGTTGACACAGTGAGCACATTTTTAAACATTTTATTTATTTTGCTGTGTTGTATAAATATTCCTTTTGACCTAATTAGAGATTTCCCTTGTTGCATCAATATGGACGGTAATTCGTTTTTGTTTTTTTTTTTCTTTTTGGCTGATAACGTGCAGCAGATGTGGAGCTGAGATCATCGTTCTTCTCGCTCTCATGCTGTTGCAAGTAGGACCCTGTTTTTTGGACTAGTTTTGGATTAGTTTTGGACTAGTTCTGAACTAGGTCTGGAGTAGGGTTGTCAAAACAATCTAAAATCAGATACTGATTCATACTGAAACCTGTATCAAAACTAGATCATTTGAGCAGGTATTGATACTAAAAGTCACATTCCAGGACAGAAATGAACCTTTCCGGGAAAAGAGTAGTAGAAGTGGTGAGTAATGAGTATTTTTAGAATAAGTGTAAGACCCCATAGACTAGTATATATGCCCATGGACCACTATGGAACCCACCTGGACGACAGAGGGATTATATCTTCGTGGTATCGAAACTGGTATTAAGAATCAAGTCTGTTCTTTAGTGTCAGATTAGAGATTGAAATTTAGTAAAATACAAAAATTTCAAAGTTAATTTCAATACTAAGGAACAGGCTAGATGTGAATTTCAGTAAAACATGGTAATGGAAATAAATGCATTTTTAGTAATAGACAAATTTTCAAGTTAATGGTACTTTCTCAATGTTACCATTAGGGATGTGCAAAAATATTGACATATCGATATATCGTATCGTTTAATGTGATGATACCGTATTGACACTGGGCTGCTGTATTGATATATCGCTAAGAATATTTTTGGTATGTTTTACTGAATAATCTTGTTACAGCTACAGTCTTGTTGTTTGTTCAGTGGAAGAAAACTCTTTTTTGCAACTCATTTGACATTTTCACTGTTTTGAGGATTAAAATCTTTGCATTTCATATGAATTTTGCACAAGAAGTGGTTTAACAAAGTTAAAAGTTTAACTTTTAGTATCACAGCCATGATTTAGTCAATATTTTTTATTGAACCAAATCGAATTAAAATATATCGTATCGAATAAGAAGTTCACTGTATCGAGATATGTATCATATCGTGGCCTATGTATCGAGGTATGTATCATATCGGCAACTTCTTAATGATACCCAGTCCAAGTTACCATGTGGTCTTTTTTGCCAGTTCTGAAAAAGTTTAAGATCATTTTAAAAGTTTTTTCAGGAGATGCCAGTTTTTTTTAGTATTGAGTATCTGATATTTTTGATAGTTTTCACAACTCTACTCTGGACCGGATCTGGACCAGGTCTTTGCCTCTGAACTGCTCCTGTGCCACTTTGACACATATTGATCCTGCTGCACACCAGTGTTATGTTACATCCGTGTGTCTCAAGATTTGGAGAAAAAAGGAGAGAATAAAAAACCTGATTAGGTTTCACAGGGCTTCGCTGAAATGGTAGAGGGCCCCGTGCTGTGTGAGGGGCCCCAGCTACCAGCCCCTGGACTCAATACACCAGCATGTCCCAAATGATTACATAGAAAATG